TATAAATATATGCCACATAAATATATAAATATATAGTATATAAATAAATATATGGTATATAAATAAATTATATATATATGCTTGATTAATATCTACAGTATATATACATATATACTATAAAAATGCATATATTTTATGTACATATAAATTACCAGATACAATACATAAATTTTGCATTCTAGTCTAGTTTTAATGTCTAGTTTTACACATGTATATTTTTGCATAATTTATTTTTGTATCTCTATATAATTTTTGCATATATATAATTTATATGTATATAAAATACCATACACAGTTTACATAAATTTCACATGTGCAGTTTTATACATGTATATTCTTCTATCTGTATAATTTATACACATATAAAACACCAGAGTACACCCAGCATATAAATGTGCATTTTTTTTTTACTTCTGTACAGTATATATAGGTCTACAAAGAGGAGTCTAAAAAACATGTGTGCTCTTTTAATTTAAATATAGATGCATTATATACATATATATACATACATATATAAATATAGATATATTCTTATAGATGTCTTTTACGGGTATATTTTTATATAGATACGGTTATGCATATACAACTTTTATTTTTAAATATAATAAATGATAGATTTATCTAAAAATCTATTTATTTATTTATATTTTAAAGAAAGTTATTTATTTATTTATCTTTTAAAATTATTTATTTATATTTTAAAGAAAGTTATTTATTTATTTATCTTTAAAAATTATTTATTTATTTCTCTATCTTTAAAAATTATTTATTTATCTTTTAAAATTATTTATTTATTTATTTATTTATTTATTTATTTATTTATTTGTATAACAATAATTATTTATTTCCTGGGGGTGTCCAGGTGCTTCCTGCAGCCTTGGGAACACTCCAGCACATGAGAGAGAGCAAAAAATACCCCCTGCCATGAGGGATGGGGGCCACAACTCGTGGTTTGCTCACCCTGGGATGACCTGGGCAACCTGAGGTCTCACAGCTCCTGGCCCTGAGAAGGAACCAGGTGTCCAACACCACCCAGAAATTCCATACTGGAGAAAACGTGGCTTCCTGCCCTTTCCCCGTGGCCCAACCTACAATATTTAACTTAAAGATTGGAGATTCCCAGGGGGAAACCCCGAGTTGCAGGACCCTGGAGCAGCAAAGAAGCTTCGGGCCAGGATTGAAAATTCCAGAGTTTTGTACCTCTGAACACCGGGGCCTTGAGGAGCCTGAGCTGAGCAGGGTTAATTAATGCAAATTAAACAAACGAGCAGGCGTGGGGAAGCCAGGGAAAAGGGCCACAAAGCTGTGGACTGAGAACTGTTCCAAGTGGCAGAGACGTGACACGTGGGGAGGGATCGCTCCGTCCCCAAGGTGGTGGGAGATTGGAGCGGGGACGGGACAGAATGGACTTGGCAGGACTGAACGAGGCTGACGGGAAGAGTTATTGTTTTATGACAAATTAAATAATCACGAAATCCGAAGACAAACAATGCTTTGTTTTGGAGAAGCTTCCTGGTTCCTGCTGTTCCCGAGCCGGCGGAGCTTTGGGTGCCGAGGTGTCACCCAGGTGAGGGTGGGGAAGGGCGAGGGCTGAGCTCCCTGTGTCAACACTGCAGGTGAAAGGACAAGAGGACATAGCCCCAGGATGTGCCAGGAGAGGTTCAGGTTGGATATTAGAGGGAATTTTCTCGTGGAAAGGGTGCTCAGGCATTGGGAGGGGCTGCCCAGGGAGGTTTGGAGTCCCCATCCCTTGGAGGTGCCCAAGGAACCCCTGGATGTGGCCCTCAGTGCTCTGGGCTGGGGGACAAGGTGGGGATGGGGCACAGGGGAGACTCCATGGTCGAGGAGATCTTTTCCAACCTCAGTGATCCTGGGATTCTGTGGCAGCTGGACAGGTGAGACCATTTACCTTCAGAGCACCGTTGCTCCACCACGACGGATCTGCAAACACAGAGGATTCATGGATGTTACCAAACCAACAGAGATTCCTTGGTGTCCCTGGAGCCAAATGACCCAGCTTGGCTCCCGTCCTTGCCACTTCCCCCTCAACTGCAGCCACATCCAGGCTTTTTGCTGGGAATAGTCTCCACCCTGGGCCATCCTTGGACCAATTCTAGATGGTGTTTGAAGGGTTGCACGTCTGGCACGGGCCAAGGTGTGTGTCAGAGGAGAGGGGGATGTTCAGACCTGTGTCCTGGCTTCCTTACCCATTGCACAGGGAGCACAGGGATCAAATCCATAGCCCAGGGCTCCAGCATTTACCTAATCAGTGACCCTATCCCAGGAAAAGGCAGGCTCCAAGGGGATAGGGAACGTGGCTCACAGTGGATCTCTGCTGGAATCAAGGAGCTTAACATTTGTATTAAAATTAACTGAGAAAAGATCTCTGTGTGTCCCTCCAACTGCTTTAAAAACCTTCTGCAGAGTCTACCAGGGAATAGCACAGCACTTCCCTGCTCCAGTGGCTCCGGGGAGGCTGCAAAGAGGGACAGCAGTGGGAGGAAAGCAGAATTCCTTTGTGAAGACTCACCAGGGAGCTCTGCCCGGCCACTCGCAGCTGTGGTCTCCAACTGCTCCCTGCTCAGCTCTTGCAGAACATTCTGGTGAGGCTTTCCAAGGGCAGAGATGTTTTGGGAGATGATCATCCACAGGCAAAGTGGATCCAGTGGGAATCCTAAACACTTCAGTGGGTAGGATGGGGAGGTCTGGTCCAAACACGCCGATGGTGCCTTTTTCCCTGCAAACATAAATGTTAAAAGCAGCTCTCACCCTGCTGAGTTTCGTGTGTGGGTTTCCAGTGCCAGGGAATGGGATCAGGGAGGTGGGAGGGGTCCAAACCCCCAACAAACAACAGGTCCCAGGACGCTGAGAGTGTTGGTTGTAACCATGTTCCCTGGTTGGCATCCAGCAGTGGGTTCCTGGTCCCCCAGGCTCGTGGCACAGCCCAGCAACAGCAGGGCGGAAAGATGCAGCCATTAAAAACCAATTTATCAATCCAGAGCCTTTGGATGTCACCAGGGACACTGGGATGGGAGCCCTGAGCCCCAGAAATCCCCCAAAACCTGCATCCCCTCAGACCCCTGGAGCGGGCCAGACCTCATCCCCGCTGTCTCTCCCCAGATTGCCCCCATGGTTTTGCTCTGTCTGTATTATCCCACAGATCCTGTGCATTTTCCAGGATTTCAGGCCCTCGTGGAGGGCAACACCACCCCTTGGCACGGGTCTGGCTCCTTGGGGAGCCCGGGCCAGCAGCCCCACTGCTGCTCCCCACACATTCCAGCCCCCAGGAGAGAGGCAGGGAGTGGTGGGAGGTTGGGAGCTGTTTGTATTCCCAAGAAAGTGGCATTTCCTTCTGGAGAACATGGGAAAACACCCCAACAGCTACTCGTGCTACAGCCAGAGCTGAACCACCCTTGACCAGGCCGTGTTCACACGTAGCACTGAAGTGATCCAGAGTTATTCCCGGTTATTTTTTGGGAATCAGGATGCTGTGTGTCTCCAGCATGCCCAAATATATCTGGAAATTCAACAAAGAACTGTATTTCCTAAGAAAAATTGTTCTCCCTTCCCTGTTCCCAGCCCAACACACAGTGCTCTGCTCCCCCCCAGCTGTCCCTGTCCTGCCCATTCCTTGAAATCATCAACTCTTTTCCCAGGTCAAGAGCCAAGATCCCACATTTCTCAGGATTTAGTAATCACCATGTGATGGTGTCAGGGTTGGGTTGCAGCGACTGCAAAAAAAAGCAACACCTCCAAAATCCATCTTGGCACAAACAATCCCAACGGATTCGGATCCTTAAACCGAGCAAAAGCTCCTTGGGAATGTGGAGACATCCCTGATGGGTGAGGTGAGGGAGGGTCTGGGCTTAAAAGGGATCATTCCTGGTGCTCAGGCAACAGGGATGTGGCCAACAGGAACATTTTCCCGTGCTGGGCTTGGATAGAGGAGCGGAAAAGAGGGAGCAACCACACTCCTGGCGCTGGGAATGTGCTTTTCTCGGCCTCACAGAACCAGGGGAACCCTTTGCTCTCATCCCATGACTTTGAGAACCTGCTGTAAAACCCAGCCAGGAGCGTGGAGGGCAAAGCAGAGCGTGCTGGGGAATTCCAGAGGCAGCTCCGACGCTGCCCACGGGCCCTTCCATCACCCCAAACCTCCACCTCCAACCGGGAGGAGATAAAAGATTCCCTGCTAATGGCTTTCCACATAAATAGGAGGACCTGCCCCCTCAACCAGTTTACTCAGAGCACTGACCCCCCTGGCTGGGGTCACGGGGAAGCTGTGGGAGGTCCCCAAGTTTTATAAATGAGAGGCTTTCCCTGCCCAGACAGGGCCCAGGAGGCACCCAGGGGCTGGAGACACTGATGGATGGTGCCAAGGGGGTCTGTTGGAGGGGAGCAGAGCCGGGGAGGGATTTACCAAGAGATTTATCAGCTCAGGTGGATTAAGGGGGATTTGTCAGTTGTCTGCTGTCGGCGTCCGCCCCCAAAAAATAACCCTCAAACAATGGCCAAGGGCTGAAAAAATGTTTAGGATGGGGGCAGGAGGCAAAATTACGGTTGTTTCCATGAGGTTTGGTGAGTTGAGGCTCAAATGTGGGGTCCAGGCACCCCAATAAGGGCTGATGGGGGTGAGGAGTGGGTGAGGCAGAGGTGACCTCCAGCAGCAGCTTTCCATCCCCTCCACACCAGATCCCACCAGCTCCCTCAGGGCTCAAGTTTGAGCCCCTCTTTGAGACCCCCAGGGTCTCAAGGGCTGCAAAGACATGTCCCAGCCCCCCCCAGGGGTGAGATCACGACCCAAAACAGAGAAGAGGAAGGCTGGGACTTACCAGACACCGGCCACACCTTCCCAAAGCATCCTTTGGATGAGTTGCTCCCTGGAGATTCCAGGTGTCCAGCTGCACGCTCTGCTTGCCAGGAGAAAGCAGGATTTGGGCAGTGACACCCTGTAAACACAACATCTAATTTTTTTTTCCCCAAGAAAAGCCAAGGGAAGGGTCTAGAAGGGGAAAATGAGACAGACAAGCAGCTTCCTGAGATCTCATTTGGAGCCAGCCAGGGGGCTCCGCTTCATTTATTTCAAGACACTTCATCCCGAAATAAATTAATTCACTGCAGCAAATTGGGCTGTTTTCCTGTTTATTTTTTTAATTGTTCCACGCTGTCCTCGAGTTTCTCAGCAGAACTGGCTTCCAACCCCCAAAATGGGAAATGTTCCCCTTGCAAATGGAAAATACAAACATTTCCAGTGTGGCCACGCAGGGTTTTTTTTTTCCTCCCTCGCTCTCTAAAATCTTTCTGCACTGAGAAATCCAGCTGCAATTTGGCTGCAAAAAAATGGGTTCAAACTGGCCTTGCTGATAACAAACTCCTGAAGCTCAAGGTGCCTGCTCCGAGATCTCCAGATCACCTCCTGCTAGAGCCTGTGGGAAACGCCCTGATCGTAGGATCAGAAGGTTGGAAAAGGCCTCCAAGATCCCCAAGCCCAAGCTGGGTTTGTGCCAGGGATGGGGCAAAATTCAGGACGCACACACGAGGTTTAAAAATCAGGACATTTTCCCAGTGTTTGGCCACTGCTGGGTGGGAGGGAGGAACGGCCAGGAGGACACACGGAGCAAAAATACACGGTGGCCACCTCTCTTTTCCCCCTGAGCCAGGAGGGACCCACGAGGATCAACAGGTCCAACTGCTGGCCCTGCACAGCCAACGATCCCACCCCGGGATTCCATGGGCCACCCCGGCTCTGAGCCAGCCTTCCAGCCCAAACTGGGCCCTGTCTGGGCTCCCTCCCGAGGACCACACTCCAGAGGAAGGCTCAGCTGGTTCCCATCCCCGTCCTGCCCCCGATGAGCTCCAGATGTGGGGTGGGTGTTCCGGGACGCTCCGGGGGGGAGGTGGAGGCAGCTCGGGCTGCTGCTGCTGCTGCTTTTATCTCCTTCCCTTTGTTTATGAAGAGAGGATCAGCCCGTGGCTGCCAACAATTTACTCTGGCGAGGGCACCCCTCCAGAAACACTTTTACTGTGAACACGGATCCCCTTCCATCGGCTCCAGATGGAGACCCAGAAGGGGCCACTAAATTCTGGGGGAGTTGGAGCCCACCCCGGTGTCTCCCAGTGGGAGCAAGGAGAGCACAGCCCACTCTGCTCAACCAGCTTCCCACAGGTTTCTCCTCCTCGGGCATGGAGGGTCCAGCTGGATCTGGGGCATCCCAAGGGCTGTAACATCCCATGAGGCCCAACCCAAGTGGGATGCAAAGCCCTAAAATCCTCTCGGTGTGAGGGTGGGGAGGCCCTGGCACAGGTTGCCCAGAGAAGCCCCATCCCTGGAAATGTCCAAGGCCAGGTTGGAGCAACCTGGGCTGGTGGAAGGTGGGTGGGAAGAGATGAGTTTAAGGTCCCTCCCAGCCCAAACCATTCCACGATTCCCTGCTAAAAACGAGCTGCAGGAGGCTTTTCCCCATGAACCCACTTCACAGGGCTCAAAAGGCGCCGCTGTGGCAGCCGTGGGGAAGAGGGAGTCAAAATTGGTTATTTCAGAGCAAAACTTCCCCTGTCAGCAGGACCCTGAGGCTGGAGAGGTGCCCTTGGGCAGGGAGCTCACCTGTGCCGTGGTGCTGCCCATGGATGTCCTGCTCCTGAAGAGCTCTGCTGGATTTGGGAGGCCAAAAACTGGATGAAGCTGAAGCCTCTTTTCCCAGCAAGATGGAGTTGGTGTTTTCCCTCCCGGGCCTGCTGGTAGAAAACTGGGTTAAGAGCAGCCAGCATCTGCTCAAGGTTATTTATTGCTTTTAGGAGGCGAGTTTTTATTGGGGATTATTTTTGTCTTCTCTTATTTTTGGTGCCTGAGTTATGGAAACCTCCTGGATGCACCAGCACCCCCTCGGAGAGGCGTCGAATGTTTGCCAGGCAAAGGCAGCTTTGGCAGGAGCCTCCCTGCTCCATGAGCATCCTCCCAGGCTGGACCAGGGAGCTCTGTGCCACCAGCCCGGTTTGACATGGGCCTGGAGTGCCAGGACGAGGGGGAATGGCTTCCCACTGCCAGAGAGATGGGTTAAATGGGATACTGGGAAGGAATTCCTCCCTGGGAGGGTGGGCAGGCCCTGGCACAGGTTTTCCCAGAGAAGCTGTGGCTGCTCCATCCCTGGAAGTGTCCAAGGCCAGGTTGGACAGGGGTTGGAGCACCCTCATGGCAGGAACACAGTGACACATCCAGGTCATCTCCCAGTGCCCAAAACACCCTCTGTCCCATCCTCCTCATGGAGCCATTTCCCCCTCACTTTATCAACCCAAACATTGAGGATTTCCCCCCACGCCCAGTTCAGCCCTAAGTCCTTTTCCACAGGGCTGCTGCAGCCCTGCAGGGAATGAGCTGGGCCAGGAGCTCCCCCTTTCCCAGGAGACCAGGTCAATTTTTTTTTAATTTTTTTTTTTTAATCCTCACTCTTATTTACTGTGACTCTGCCAAGAAGGTGCTCGGGGCTTTACGAGCCCCACGCGAGTCCGTCTGCCTGGGGAGTTGATTCAGGGCAGCTCCTTGCACAGGCTGGCACAACCCCAAACCCTTCTGATTCCAGCCTGGCTGTTTGGAAAGGGATTAAGGTAGAAATTAGAGCAGCAAGGAGAGCCTGGTCTAGCAAGGAGAGCCTGGTCTAGTGGACCCATGGCAGGGGGTGTGGAACGAGATGAGCTTTAAGGACCCTTCCAACCCAGAGCATTCCAGGATTTTATGATCCTGACTCTTTCAAGAACTCCCTGTACTCAGCAGTGCCTCTGCACCACACCTGGAAGAAGCTCCCACAGACACCACACCCTCCAGGGTCACGTCTTACTGGGGTGTAAAGATTTGGGTAACTCTGAGCAGAACACAGCACATGGTGTCTCTCCTTTCCCACTGTTTTCCTCCTCCCTGGAAAATGTCAAAGAGGGAGCAGCCACAAACAACCCTGTCTTCACACTGTGCTGTTCACAGGGCTGTGGTTTGGGGCTGGTTTGGGGTTTTTTCTTCCAGGCTGGGGGACGCAGTGATTTTGCAAAATGTGGCACCAGCCCATGGACAGGGAAGTTGTTTTACCCCTTAAAAATTCCTTCCAGGTCAGGTTGGACACCTGGTTTAGTAGGAGGTGTCCCTGCCCCTGGCATGGGGTGGGACTGGATGAGCTTTAAGGTCCCTTCCAACCCAAATCATTCCATGATTCTGTGGTTCAATGGCCACGTCTCCAGTGAGAATAAAACATCATCAGGAGCTCCGTGAGCTGCAGAGTCCTCCCCAAAAAAACAATCTCCGTCTCCCCCCGAGTTCATCAGCTGGGTCCTCCGGTAACACACTCCCTCACGTGTCATCAGGAAGGAATTTGGGCCCTGTTTGATGATCAGAGAGGGATCAGGATCACAGTTCTCCCACCCCAAAGCACGTCAGCAGGTCTTTCAAGCCTCCCTCGCCCTGTGTAGACCGGCCAAGGACCTGCTCCTTCCCGGGCATCCCCGGCCCCCCCTCATCAATCAAAGCATTCCTGGTTTCCTCTCGGTGTCCGTGAACGCTCACAGAGGTTTCTTCTTCAAAAAAACTTCATCTGGGCAATTGTTCAAAAATGTTCCAATTACCTGCTCCTTTTAAGCTCTGATGACGGCCCGTGGAGCCGTAATTTAACCCAGACCTGCAGACGTCTGGTTTAAGGTTAAAAAGTCCTCCAAGCTGAGCTTCAGCCAGCAGAGCCACGAAAAATCAACTTGCCCCGTGTTAATTTGGGGTTCCTCTCGTTAAAAAAGCCGTGGAGGAGCCCCCATGGGGGTCTGACCTCGTGTTATCCCAACTTCACACGGTCAGTGGAAGGATTCATGGAAGCAGATCCCAAGGAGGAGTTAAAAATCCCAGAGTCATTAAGGCTGGAAAAGAGCTTTAAAATCTTTGAGTCCAATCATCAACCCAGCACCACCACCATGGTCACCACTAACCCACATCCACATATTTTTTGAACATTCCCAGGGATGGTGACTCCACCACTGCCCAGGGCAACTTGTTCCAGGGCTTTACAGCCCTTTCCATGAGGAATCCTGCACACAAACCACCCACAGCAGGGGGGGGTTCAGCACTTAAGTATTTCAAATGGGAATAAACAAAGATCTTTTCTCCCAGATGTTAATTTTGTTAAGGTTAGGGTTGCTTCCTTCTCCCTCACAGACACCCACTGCGGATTCACAACCCCCCAAGACCCAAAAAACCCCAAAGTCCACCTGCCCCAAAACCCCTGGGGCTCCCACTGCACCACCTTCCCCCCAGCAGGAAGGTTTTGGGCATTAAAATGAATTTTTAACCCAGCTCAGTTTTCTGAAGGGGAAAATTCCCAAGGAAAGGAGGACGTAGAGAGGTTCAAGAACGTAGGTAGCTCCAAAACAGGATTAGACATTTCTGTGGATGTCAGGAACAGCTAAATCCCATACAATTAATGATCATCAGCCTGGCTGGGATGGAACCCAAGGGATGCAAGACTCCTGGAAATATCGCTGGAGAGCAGGACAAGAGCAGGAGCAGCATCATTGCTGAATATCCCAAGTTGGAAGGGATCCACAGGGATCACCGAGCCCAACTCCCGGCCCTGCACAGGACTGGAGCATCTCCCCCTCTCTCCACACACAGTGGGAATGTTCTGGTGGGATTCTGGCTCTGTCCCAGCTCAGGAGCTTCTGTGGGAGCAGAGAGAAGAGAGAAGAAAGGGCTGGATTGGCTGGGAGAGCCAGGACAGGACAAGTAGTGGAGTCACCAAGCTGGAAATGTTCCAAAAACGGGTGGATGTGGCACTTCACGAAATAATTTGGGCAAGAGGGGGTGTTTGGGCTTGATGATCTTGGAGGTCTTTTCCAACTTTAAAGGTTCTGTGATTCCCTGTGAAGAAATCAGCACTTTTTGTGCCGAATTTGTAGCCCAGGCACCTCAGAACTTCGGAGCAAGGAGCCAAAAGTACCTCTACGTCCGGGCGATTTATTCCAGAGGTTTCATGGGAATTCCCAATGGCTTTTAGCAGCACTCAGCCATTACTCACTCCTTACCTGTGACAGTTCAGCAGGGAGGGGGGGGAACACCCCCAGCACCCAGCAGTGCCACGGAGGGAGCACATCCAGAGCCTCTGGCAGCTCCCTGATCGCTCCCAGGTGGGTGCCACGGAGCCGGAGCCGGGAGTGATTCCAGGCTGGGAATGGGAGCCAGCATCTCCCTGCAAGCAGATGTCCCAGAGGGGAACATTAGAGCCTTCAGTTACCCAATTAAAAGCATGTTGGAGGGGGATTTGATTGCTTGGTTTGACAGAGGGAGGAAAACCCTCCGGGTCCTGGCAGGGACGAGGATTTACGAGTTGCTTCGGGTCGCTCTGCCTGGTCTTGGTATTTAGCAAAGGAGCAACAAAACCCCCCCCCAAAAAACCAAGGAGGGATGGTGTCTGCATTCCTGCTGCTTGAATCAGACATCTTTCCTGGCAGCTCCAGTCCCTCCCAGCTCCAGGGACTCCGGGGAGGGGCAGCAGTGGATGCACTGGAGCAGGTCTGACATCCAGCACCGAGGGCTGCCCGTGGGCCACATCCTCCCCCTCAGAGGTGGAAATGATTCCCTGTCACTTGTGAACTCCCTCCCAGGGATGTGCTGGATGTTCTCTCCCAGTTTGCTGAAGGGCAGGATCCACCTTCTTCCTGCTCCAGAGGCCTGGAATGAACCCTGCTGGGTGCCTGCCCCAGGGATCCCCAGCTCCCTCCCCTTCCTCTCCCTGGAACAAAACATCACCTCAGGTTGGGAAAGGAGTGAAGACAAAACTCCCAGACTTCCTGCAGAGGGTGAACAGCACCCAGGAACACCTCTGGACACGAGAGATTTAGGATCACCTCTATTTATTGCCAAACCCCAGTGTCTGAGCACCTCCCTTGGCACCCGCCCTCCCTCCTCACCTGCTCCTGGCCAGGAATTCCCTGTGCTCCCACCTTCCCCTTCCCCTCATGCCTCAATCCAACGTGTCTGGTGTTTCTCTTCGAGGCAATGCTGAAATGAGAGGAGAAAAGTTATAAGTTATTTCAAAGCTCTCTGCTTCAAAAAAACATCCAACCCAAATTTAGGCACCGCGAAGCCATAAACGTTCCTTTTTATTGCACACACAAAATAACCCTCTGCAATATGATTCCTCTCAATTTATGGTTCTCCCAGAGCCATTAATTCAGCCCAGGTCTTTTCTTCTTCTTTTTTTTTTTTTTTTTAATTCTTTTATTCTTCCCCCCCCCTCCCAACTTGAAGTCAAATAATTCATAAATACTTCGCCCTGGATTGTGCTTTATGAGCATTACGATGATCACTTGACTGTGGAAATGCCTGTGAAGTTATTAAGGGAGTTTTAATACACCACAGACTCCCCAGAGGGGCAGAGCAACTCCATCACACTCTGGAGGGAAGAGCTCTCTTGTGAGGCTCTTTATTTAGCCAAACAATCAGGATTTTACAGCCCAGATATCTCTGAATCGAGTCAATCACAACCTCTGGGGTGGGTTTTGGTTTGTTGTGCTCCAGCATCCTCCTGGAGTGAGATGTGACTTAGACCCACAAGCCTCCATATCATTTTCAGACCCAAACCCAGAAAAAAAGACTAAAAAAATAAAAAAAATGCTCAGAGGAGCATCAGCAAAACCATTGGATGGTTGGGCTTGATGGTCTCCGAGATCTTTTCCAACCTTAACAGCTGGATTTGATGATTTTAGAGGTCTTTTCCAACCTGATTTTATGCTAAAAACATGAAGAAGAGCAGGTCACTGACCTCCTTGGAATCTCCAGGTAGGAAGGAGGCATGGAAAAGTCGGATTTCCCTGGGCAGACGCTGCTTTTTCTGTTGTCCTTGCTGTTGAAATTCAGAAATTCAGTCCCAGGGGTGAAAGTCAGAGCTGGAAACCTTTGGTTTATTTTAGGGAAAGAGGGAAACATAACAATTAAATTACAAATAGGAACTCACAGAATCAAACAGATTTTCTGGGGTTGCTGGGCCACACCAGGGCTTTCCTTGGGGTATCCCCCCCCAAAAAAAGGGGGGCTTTGGATCTGGAATTTCCGGATTCTGCGTTTCTCCTCCTCGTTTTCCCGTGCAAACCAACCAAGGCCCACGAACTGCGGAGCCAAACATCAGTGGGAGCACTTTTGGATCCCCTGAGAGCTGCTGGGGGATGACACCCCCCCCTCTTCAGCCCCCAAAACCCCCCCTGACCTCCCCCAGGACCACCCAGGAAGAGCTGCAAGGGGAGCCCCCGAGTCCTCCCTGCTGCTGAACCTCCTCTGCTCCCCGGGAAATCCACGTTTTTCCCCTTGTAAAGAACTCCTCAGGCAGTTGCCTCCGTATCTCCAAGGTGTCTTCGAGCCACGGAGGTGCAAATATTTATCCATACTTGGAATTGCAGAGTGAAGCCTGACTAAGTGTTCCCAGACACTCGAGCTGTTGTTGTTTTAAGACCTGGGCCCGTGGACACCTGGCTGGAATTAATCAGCAGATGGGAACAGGGAGGCAGAGCAGAGCCCTCATTAACCCTTCACACATCAATGTCAAGGTCACAGGGGGGTTCAGCCTGGACCTGTCAACAGCCTGGGAATCCCAAAGCAAGGAATGTCCTTCCCGGAGCGGGGCATGAACTGGAAGCAGGATTTATCACCCCGCTGTCACCACCGAGCTGAGGCTCTGCCTCGGGAATAGCAGCAGGAGTAAATGTTTATGACTAGATAATAAAACACCAGAGCAAACCCACCTTCTGCCCAGGCTCTGCCTCAATCCAGGAGCTGAAGCATCTCCTGAAGGGAAAGGATCCACTTTGCACCGGGTGGTTTCGAGCGGAAAGTTTGGATTATTTGGGTAGTGGGTTATTGGGGAGAATTTCTTGGTTGGATTGGATATCGGGAAAATTTCTTCACTGAAGGGGTTGTCCAGCCCTGGCAGTGGGGAAGTGGCAACCCTGGAAGTGTCCAATAAATTAAATTAAAATAAATTAAATCCAATAAATGTGTGGATGTGGCACTTGGGGACGTGGATCCGCGGCGGATCCGAGCTCAGGTGGGATCACATCCTCCACCCCTCACACCCCCTGAGCAGCTCCCCCAACCATCAGCTGCTGCCTCCCTCTCCAGCCAGGAGCTGGGAACGGAACAGAGACCCCAGGAGCTGAACACAGCCCAGGGAAGCCAAAAAACACACAGCCAGGAACTTCCAAAGCTCCTCTGCCTCCTGCAAAGCCAGTCCCAGCCAGGCAGGGATTTTCACCACGGTCACCTGGACCCCAAACAATGCACTCCCTGAGCCCCCAGGTCAGCACAAACACCCCCAGATCAGCACAAACACCCCCCAAAAGCTCCTTGCCCAGCTCTGTTGATGTCTCTCGGGGTGTTTTTCACACCCAGGGAAGTCAAACTGGCGACGGGGGAAGGAGGATTTGCTGCCCCCCACCAAGGGGGGGGAAGTTTTGCTCTTGAGGAGATGTAAACAAGCCCTGGAGCAGGTCAGGCCCCCGGTGCCCTCTTTTATCAGGGCTCCTTTCTTTTGGCATAAACACCAGCCCCAGGTCAGGGCCTGTAATCTGTCCCAGCTGCTTTTCCAAGGGTTGATCCAAAGGCTTCAAACCTGAAGTGTGGGGGGTGAAATAGTCCCCACCCGCTGCTTTCTCTCTCTTTAGAGTCGATTTTCAATCCCAGAACTTCTTCCCCAGGTACCAGGGGGTTGGGGGATGGTTCCTCCAGGAGGTTGGTTCCTCCATGGGAGGTGGCCGTGGCTCTTCTCCTCCTCCTCCACAGCTCCAGGAGCACTGAGCTGGCACAGGGCACTGCTGGACACGGGGCTTTATCCTGGAGCAGAGCCCTGTGGGGTCAGGGAACACCTGGAGCTGTGCCAGGGGAGGTTTGGGTGGGATCTTCCTCCCTAGAGGGTGCTGGGGCACTGCCCAGGCTCCCCAGGGCAGTGGGCACAGCCCCAAGGCTGCCAGAGTTCCAGAAGGGTTTGGATGATCCCCTGAAGGACAGGGTGGGATTGTTGGGGTGTCCTGGGGTTGGACTGGATGATCCTTGGGGTGTTCCTTCCAGCTCAGGATGTTCCATGGGTCTGTGAGTGGCTGGGAGGGAACCACGAGCCCTTGGCCTGTCAGGGAGTTTATCCCAAGCTCTCAGCCAAGGTCTCCATGTCCCAGGATCCATCCCCAGCACAAACTCGTCTCACAAAGCCCAGTCCAACATTCCCAGTGTTTATCCAGGACTCAGGAGTGTCTCTGTCCCCAGGGACATCAAGGCTTGCCCAGGCACTGGATCAGTGACCGTGGCCGTGCCCTTGTTGAGCCTGAGCTGCCCAACCCTCACCCCAGCCCTCCCTGAGCTCCAGCAGAGGGAAATCCCGACCCACAATCATTGTTCTTCAGCTGGAATGAGTCCAACCCAATCCCACATTTCAAAGACTTCCCCCATCCCAGGATGGGTTGGGTGGGAAGGGACCTTAAAGCCCATCCAGTCCCACCCCTGCCATGGGCAGGGACACCTCCCACTATCCCAGCCTGGCCTTGGGCACTTCCAGGGATTCCTTGAGGTGAATTCCTCGAGTCTTTCCTTCCTGGACTGTGCAAACAGCTTTAGAAATCAAATTAAAAAAATCAGGAAGAGGAAGGATTTTTTCTCTTCAGGTCAACCCAGACTGAAACCTTTCCCATTTGCCTCAGCAAACCAGGTTTTTTTTCCTTAAGTGGAGACAATGAAAGCATCTTGTTCTCCCCAAAATAAAACGTGTCTCTGTTTGTAAATTCATCTTTGAAGGCACTTGTGGTCCCCTGCCTTTCCTAATTAAAGGCAGGCAGATCTCAACTGGGGGAACACCACAGTGTAATAATAAAATTTAATTTCAAGCATATCTCAAACAAAGCCTGCAGATTTTCAGTCCCAAAATAATCCTTTTTTGTTGTTGTTGTTTTTTGGTTCAAGTTGTAAATAATTTCAAAGGCACCAAAATAACTTTTTTTTCTCTACAAACAAACGTTTCATCTTAATTTCAGCTCCCAGTGATCAGAGTCAGACTCTTCCCAGTGGTGCCCAGGAAGTGGATAAGAGGGAAGGGCAGGAGTTGAGAGAGAGAAATTCCCTTTAAACAGAGGAGAAATTTTATATTTAATTTTTTTTTTTTTTAAATTAAGGGTGGCCAAATGCTGGAGCAGATTGTGCAGGGTGGTTGTGGAGTCTCCATCCTTGGAGATGATCAATCCCTGGACCTGGACAAGGTGGAGGAGGAGGAGGCCCATGGGAAGACCATGAGGATGAACAAGGCCAAGTGCCAGGTCAAGGGCTCACATCCCAGAAATCCATCCGTGTCCTGGGCTCATCCCACAGCAGGTGAGGGGGGAATTCTGCTCCTCTGCTCAGCTCAGGTGAGACCCCCCCTGCAGAGCTGCCTCCACATCTGGGATCCCAAAATAAGGATGTGGAGCTGCTGGAATAAGTCCAGAGGAGGCCATGGAGATGCTCCAAGGGTTGGAGCCCCTCTGCTCTGGAGCCAGGCTGGGAGAGCTGGGGGGGTTCACCTGGAGAAGGGAAGGATCCAGGAAGACCTCAGAGCCCCTTCCAGGGCCTAAAGGGGCTCCAGGAGAGCTGGAGAGGGACTGGGGACAAGGGATGGAGGGACAGGACACAGGGAATGGCTTCAAACTGAGGGCAGGGATAGGTGGGATATTGGGAAGGAATTCCTCCATGTGAGGGTGGGGAGGGGCTGGGATGGAATTCCCAGAGAAGCTGTGGCTGTCCCATCCCTGGGAGTGTCCAAGGCCAGGTTGGAGCAACCTGGGATGGTGGGAGGTGTCCCTGCCCAGGGCAGGGGGTGGCACTGGATGGGATTTAAGATCCCTCCCATCCCAAACCATTCCGGGATTCTGTAACCCCGGTTTTTTGGAAAAAAAACCCCAACATCTTAGCCCGTCTTTAAGGCTGGGAGGGAGGTGAACTTACCTTTTCTGGGAGAAAAATCCGCAGGGAATCTCCCTCCGTCCATCTCCTGGTGCGCGGGGCCCTCTGGAGCCCGCGCCGCGCATCGCCCGCGGCTGCCGATGGATCCAGCGCGCTCCCGGCTGGATCCGCCGCCGGGAACAGCTGGATTTGCTGGAATGACAAAACCATCGGCACCGCCGGACGAGCCAGTGATTCCTATGGCGGGTTTATACAGGTAGGAAAGGAATTTTGGGGGGGGATCCGCGTCGCTGCGACCCGCAGGGCTTGAGGAATGTCCCAGTGGGCACCGGCTAAAAACGAGCACCAAATCCAGGGAAATAAAAGCAGGATGGTCGCAGGACAGGCAGTGACATTCCAAAAGGGTCACATCCTCCCCCTCGCGGGAGTGTTTGGTTCGTAGAGTGGGAAAAACACACTGGTAGGGAACAGGAAACGTGTTATTCCAGGGGAAAGAGCACGTGGAGATGGGAGAGAGATGGAAAAAAAGCTGCTTGGGAAAACACCCAGCACCAGGAAGGACCCGATCCTGGATATTGCCTCCTCCAGCTGGACAGGACTCTGCAGGAGCTGGGCTCAGCACGGAATTCCCAGAGGAATTGCAGTGCTGGGAAGCGAGTTGGGTGCAGGGCTCGCTGTGCACATCCCGGCATCCCTGAGGAAAAGGGAGTCCCAACAAATCCGCCGTCCCTGGCAAGCAGAGCTGGGCCAACAACTCACTGCGTGCTCAATGAAATTCCTCCGGGATCAGATGGATGGAGTTTGGACAGGGAACACCTGCTCCAAGGCCCGGGACAGCAGCCAGTAGATGGCATTCACATTCCATACGTGTGCTGCCATGGCAGGCTTGGGCTGCTCTGGGAAACGAGAAAAGAACATTTTTTTCATGGAAAAACGAAGGTAAAGGCAAATATTCAGCCGAGGTGACCCTGAAGACTTTGATAATTAACTTTGGAGCCATCAGGTGCTGCAGACTTCCTGGTGTTTCCTGTCCCCGTGGATCTTCTGTCAGCTTCTAACAGAGAATCCCAGGATGGTTTGGGTGGGAAGGGACCTTCAAGCCCATCCAGTGCCACCCCCTGCCGTGGGCAGGGACACCTCCTACTAGCCCAGGTTGCTCCAACCCGCCTTTGGACACTTCCAGGGATGGGGCAGCCACAGCTTCTCTGGGAATTCCATCCCAGCCCCTCCCCACCCTCACATGGAGGAATTCCTTCCCAATATCCCACCTTTCCCTGCCCTCAGTTTGAAGCCATTCCCCCTTGCCCTGTCCCTCCATCCCTTGTCCTCAGTCCCTCTCCAGCTCTCCTGGAGCCCCTTTAGGCCCTGGAAGGGGCTCTCAGGTCTCATTGGATCCTTCCCTTCTCCAGGTGAACCTCCCCAGCTCTCCCAGTTGGTCTCCCTGGGATTTTCTCCTCGTCTGCATTATTGAAAACGACCCTTTCAGTGCAAAAACTTTCCCTGACATCCAACCTGAACCTCTCCTGGTGCAACCTGAGGCCGTTCCCTCTTGTCCTGTCCCTTGTTCCCTGGGAGCAGAACCCGATTCCCACCTGGCTCCCCCTTCCTGTCGGGTCTGGAGTGGGAGAAAATCCCGGTGTCTTCAGTCACCTTCAGATTTGCAAAAGAACCAGCAGGGCTCAGGGTCTGGATGCAGTTCTGGACATCCCTGGAGCAGGGAGCAGGGGTTCACCCTCCCGGGATGAGCGGGACCTTCTGGCACGTGTCTGTCTGTCCAGAACCCGGCCCCAGTGCCTGAGGTTTGGGGACAAATCAGCCCTGCAAGCTGGACCATTAAATCCCGCATCCCCTTTTACTTCCTCAGGGAATGATGCACCGCATTAAAATCCCTCCCACCCCTCCTCCAGGACCAGGATGACGGGCATCCCTGTCTCCCACTGCAAGGAGAGGGTGTGCTCAGCCCCTGGCAGCCCCGTCCGGATCCATCCGGAGGAAGGATGCGGGCAGAGATTCGGTGCCTCGCAGCCCATTGGAGGAGCGCTGGCACTGGCAGGGGGGTCCTTCGGGCTCCTGTCCCCACCCCCCTCCTCCAGACTCCCCTCCCTGTCCCCAGCGCCATCCTCACACACACACAAAAGCAGGGAATTAGCTGCCTTAGGGCAGCCGAGGCTTAGCCAGCTGCGGGCGGAAAATCGGAATAAAATACCTTGGAGGGGAGGGGAGAGAAGGGAGGGGAAGGAGGCGGCAGAGGAAGCAGCAGCCATGGAAGAATACAAATAACTGCCCTCAATCCATCCCTCTTTCCCGACCGAACCACAAAGCCACGGATGCCGCGCGAGAAGCCGACCTGGATGCATCCCCACGTTCCATCTGCATCCGGATCCAGGGGCTGCACCTCCTGAGCCGTCTCTCCCACCGGGAGGAATGCCGAGCCGGGATACGGGCAGGATCAGCTTTGTTCCTCGCTAAGCGGTGAGTAGGGCACCGGCCGGGAGAGAGGTGGGACACCGGGAGAATCCTCCCGCCCCGGGCTTGGCTTCGCTGCCTTTCCTTCCCTTCCCTTCCCTTCCCTTCCTCCCTCCATGATGCCTCCAGGGTTGGCAGAAAGCAGCTGACGGGGAGGGAGGGGGAAGGTGGGATCTCTCCCGGAGCTCCAGAGCGTCTGTTTGTGCTGCATTTCAGGGAAATAAAAAAAAAATGGGGAGAGGTGGGACGGTGCCAGAGGCACCCCCTGAGCCAGGTGTGGGCTGGAGGGGGAAGAATCCAGGAGGGATTCTGGGAGATCCGGGCAGGGAGAGAGCCCTGCAATGCTGACAGCCAGCTCATTTTTTGCTGATTCCAGTGCCTGGGATACAGAAGGATGCTGGATTTACTCAGGCCTCGTTCCTTTAAAGCAAAATTCACAGAGATTTCTCTCCTCCAGATCATCCCCAGCCTCCAAGGGAAGCAGGAAAAGCTCTGGCACTGGGGAAGAGCCTCCTAGCAAGGGGCAAACTCTGCTTGGTGCTGATGTCCCTGCTCTGGGGGATGGACAGAGCAGCTCCATCCACCCAGGAAATCACCCTGCATCCCTTATCCTGGCAGAAATATGTTCCTATCCAGCCAGTGCCTGGAATAATTCAAAGGCTGAGCCAGGAGGAACATTCCCAACCATCCTGCAGTGGGTGGGATAATGTCCCTGCCCAGCACAGGAGCTGATTCCACCTGAGGATGTTCTAGAGAAGGTCAGGCCTGACCTTGTTCCCTCGGGGCAGGATCCAGCTGGGAATGGTGTGTCTGCTCTCCCCAACCATTGCTGGTCCCGAGTCCTGAGCCCGAC